GCGGAAGTGGACAGGAACAGAGACGAAAGCGGAAGCAGGCGGAAGCAACGCGAAGCGGAAGCAGGCGGAAGGTAACGAGCGCCTGCGAATCCCGAGCGCCACAGGTCACGATCGAGCAGGACTACAAGTTCCCCTAGCCGCAGAGCAGAAGCTCGACTGACGCCAGACGAGACACGCTCGCCGCACCGCGCTCGCCAAGGAGCACGCGATCATGAACTGCGAGCAGATCGTCAAGGGCGACGCCCACGAGCTGGGCACGGCGCACGCGCTGCTGGGCGAGATCGAGGAGCGCGCGGGCGTCCCCGACAACATTCTGGCGGTCGAGCCCACGGCGGCCGTCGCCTGGGCTCGAGAGGGCCACGGCGAGGACGCACCCGCCGCCCAGCAGCTAGAGGAGCAGAAGCGCTGGGCCGAGAGGGCCGACAAGGCCCAGCACGCGCTGGTCTGCGTGCACTCCGAGGCGCCCTGGGCAGGGGGGCACTTGTGGCAATCCCGGCCAGGCCGCGATGGTCGACGGGGGCGGCGTCGAGGTGGACTACCGCGACGCCCTGAAGGAGCCGCCCGAGCACGCCAAGCAGGCCCAAGAAGGCCACATGCGAACTCATGCCTACACCCCACGATTTCTGAGGGGGAAGATGGAGTTCACTGCCGAGCGAAGTGCACTCCGTCCTCCTCTTCAGAAATCGCGGGCAGGTTTCGCACGTGGCCTCCCATGGCCGCCGCGAGGATCGTCCGCAAGCTTGGCGCCGCTGGCCCTGGCGAGCATCGCCCAGCACCGAGCAGCAGACGGTGCCAAGTAGACGGTTGGAGCTGCGGCCTGTGGGCGAGTCGTTGGATCGAGCGCGCCCTGCGCGAGATCTGAGGCGAGGGCCGCCAAATGCCAGCAGCTCTCCACGCCGTGGTCGCTCGAGGCAACGAGTTCATCAGTAAACTCGGAGGCGAGCGACAACGACGTGGCGATGGCCAAGGCCAAGGCCAAGGCCAAGCACGAGTCCAACCCTTGCAAGGACCCCACGGCGGCCGAGCCGAAGTACGCCACCGACGAGGAGGCTAGCGCCACCGCGCAGCTTTGCACCAAGTGTCTCCCATGCAAGGACGGCTCCCAAGGATACCGTGCTTGCATGGGAGAGTGGTTCGAAGTCCAGCGCAAGAGGGGTTTCTTGGTCAGATCGGCCAAGGACCTCTCTTGCGCTGGCGAAATCTACGCGCCTGCTTAGCCGCGAGCCTCGAGATCGCCCGAGTCAGCCATGTGTCCTGCGCCTCTGCGGGCAAGTAGCCACGAGCCTCGAGATCCCTCGAGTCAGCCTTGTGTCGTGCGCCTCTGCGGGCAAGTAACCACGAGCCTCGAGGTCGCTCGAGTCAGGCTTCTGTCGTGCGCCTGGTTCAACCTCGTCCTCCTCCTCGTCCATCATCGTCGTCATCTTCGTCATCATCATCATAACTTACCTTCCCCGGGAAAATCCTTTATTGTCCCCGCGGGAACCGCGAATTTTATTATCCCAGGGGAGTTATTAGCGCCCGCGGACGGTTATTCAAGCATAGTAAATGATATGTTGACTATATTTGATTACTTTGGGGTATGTTTTGACCATGTTTCACTTTTCGTCCACAGTCCGCCTGTAGGGGGACATGCCCGACCTAACCCGAGGACCGGCAAACAACACCCGGGGATGAAACACGCGGCAAGAGGTCGAGCCTTCCGTGGGTCGAAGCTATGAGCATGGCGTCCTGCTTCTGGGAAAGGGTGTTGGATTGGAAAGGAGGGGCTGCCAACAGTGTTGCGTTTAGCCAAGTCCGGCATCGACGTCAGGAGATACCCTCGGGGTGCATTGTCGCTCCTGGTGCTTCGAGGCGCCCAGTAAACCAGCTACTGAAAAATGAGCTGGCTCGCGGAGCCCCCCTTTTCTAACCCTTCCTCCTGCGTTCGCTTCAGGGGCGTCGCATCGCACCTGCTGGAAAAGGGGCCGCTTCCCCCTGGCCGCCCAGGGGAAGCCTGGAAAGTGGAAAGCTGGCGCCCCCCACCCCTCCCGCGTGGCCATCGGGGTTGCGCCGGAGCGCTCCGAGACGGCCGCGGAGCGCGGTGCGTCCTCCATGCCCGCCAGCTTTTCAGGGGAGTTGGTTGACGCCACGCACATCCCCGCTGGGCCAGGAGGAAAAAAAAAAAAAAAAAAAAAAAAAAACACATCCCCGCTAGGCCAGGCGGTCATCGGCCGCGAGCGAGGAGGAGGGAGCCCTCTCAGCAGGCTGTGGGGTTCCTCGGAATCAGGATGAGGAAAGACACGCAGGGACACTGAAGCGTCGACTCCCATGTAAACATCGGGAGAAATATGGAGGGGAGGAACACGCGCACCCAGAAAACACGAAGAACATGTAGGGAATCCTGGGATTCGATTGAATTTGTGTGTGTGTGTGTCCCGAAGCCCCTTTTACAGAAGCCCTCCGGCCTTCTGAGAGGTGCTCGATGTTTTCGGGGAGGACTTGGGCGACTTCTGAGGAGTCTGGGGGGCTTCCGAGCCTTCTGAGAAGGCCCCGCCACGTCTCACTTCCCTTAGGTCATGCATGTCCTCCTACAGGCGGATTTTGGAAGAAGCAAGAAACTGATCATAGATAGCCAAACGTTGTCAAACGAGCACGAGACATCGTCACGGGACTATTTTTACTATTTCTGAGATTTTTGAATCTTTCTATTGTAGAGGGACATGTATTTTTTCTCGCTTCCTCCCCCAGGCTCGCCGCCGACATCCAGCGTCAGTTCGTCGGAGAGTTGCCGTGATCGGGGCTTGCAGCAGGAGAATGCGGTGGCGCGGGGCGGGCAGTCGCCCCACTGGCTGCACGCTTCCCCTCCGCCTCTTCTTCCGTGGACGGGCGAACGGCGATGTGCAGGTAACGCGTGGCCCGCGCTTTCCTACAATTCGCTGTGTCGTGTTCGCTCGCTTCATTCGCACATGGGAAGTGTAGGAAAGTGTGGTTGGTGATGTTCTGCAAACTGGTTACCAACATCACCGTGAAGCAACATCGTCGTTAGCCCGGCCTTTGTTTTGTGCCTCAAGCGGAAGGGCCTCCCGCAGGGGCCTTGGCATCGCTCGGACGTTTGCAGTGCATATTGTTTCTCGGAGAGGACCCTCGAGGAGCATTTTAGACCATCTTGGGGACAAATACACGCACGACATCGGAACATGCACCGGGGAAGGGACGTGCGAGCGATGGCCAGGGGCGCCGCGAAGTCCCGATCGCTGACGCCTACGATGTTCGTGGCAGTGAGCAGGCTCGAAGAAGCCAGGAGTCAACCAGACAGTCCTGCGATTATTGCGTTTGTCTTGGGACGGGTTTGAGTGCCTCTGGGACTCTCTCGGAGCTCTTTTGGAGCGGTGTTCGGTGCCTTTCGGGTCCCCCCTTGGGCCGATACCGGATACCATCCATACAGCTTCGGACCGTGACGGCAAGAGGGGCATAGAGAGTCACCATAGAGACAACGGGCGACAATGGGAGACAACGGGAGATAACGGGAGACAATGGGCGACAACGGGAGATGACGGGAGACAATGGGCGACAACGGGAGACAACTGGAGGCAACGGGAGACGACGGGAGACAACGGCGCCCCACCGATTACATGTCTGGGTCGCCCTGTACTCGGTTTCTTGGAAACATCATTGTGGCCTTCGGCCCATCCTACCACCGTGCCCTGATTGTAGATCAGAGGCCTCTTGGATGCCTGTGAGGATCTCTTGGGAGGCCTCTCGGATGCCTCTTGGAGGCGGCCTTGTGCGTGTCTTCGGGCTTTGGGGGGCACACTTGGGTGTGATTCTGGCCTCTCGCGGCCTCTTGGGGACCTCCTTGGGGCCTCTTGGACGCATCTCGGGGGCTTCTGGGAGAATCTTGGGGCCATCTTGGGGCGGAGGGCTCCACGTGTCAGGTCGTGCTCCCCCTCTTGGGCCCCGCTTGGGGCCGTCTTGGGGCCTCTTGGGCCCCTCTTGGGCGCCTCTTGGGTCCTCTTGGACGCTCTGAAGACCAAAACGGCGATAATGCGAAAAGCCATACAGAACCAATGGATTTTGACGTTGTTGGCGCCCTCCAGGGCCTCCAAGACGGCCCAAGGGCGCTCAAGAGGGCTCTAGGACTGGTCCCTGGAGCCATCCAAAATCATGTTGGACCGAACAACGCGCTCTTAACCTCTGGAAGAGTCACGCGGGGAACCCCCACAGATCGATCCAGCTAGCAAAATTGCGCAGAGAGTCAGGTTCGCTTGCTCTGGTCGTGATTGTTCCCTATGCTGTGTTTTTGTCCGAGACGTCCGGTCTCAGGGTACGGTTCGGAATGTTGTTTTCGCGTGTCGCTCCGCCGGTTCTGGCCCACCACGCGTCGGCGCGACACGCCCATCCACTTCGCGGTGTCTAAGCGTCAATGTCTCGGGCTTGCCCCAGCCTCCCGCCCCGCGGAGCGGAGCGACACGCTATCCGCTTCCAAGGCACAGCGTGTCGCTGGTGCCACTGCCGCGACACGCTATCCAAAAGTTCTTGACTGTATTCTGATGCAGTTCGCTCGTCGATCCAAGAAGGCGGGGAGCGGATCCAGGCCAAGCAGAGCCTGCAGCGACCGCCTGCTGCGCGGCGCACGCCAAGGACTGGCCATGAAGGAGGCGTCCAGAGACTGTTTTTGTTAGGGGTCCGACGATGATCCATGTTATCGGGCCCGCCCGCCCACCCCCCGTATCCCCTCCCAGTAACCTGGCCTGGACGGTTGCGCAGGTCCGAAGGGGGTCTTCAGTATTGGTGCGCGCGGGCATACGTGGGGCTGCACGAAGCGAAAAGGTTAGGGTATCGGCCGGCACTTAGCCTATATCCTCCCCCCGCCCCTCACGGGATAACCTCGGTTAGCGCCGAAAAATGAAGCGACTACCTATTGTAAGACGTAGCCGCCCCTTCCCCCCGCACCGCCGTCGGCAGCGGCAGGGGCGGCGGCAGGGAAGCGGGGCGCGCTGCATCCCGGGCCGCGCGGCCAGGTGTTCGGGTGGCTCCAGGACGTCAGCTCGGTGGTGGGGGCCGCGGCGAAGTCTGGAGCTGCCGCGCGCGCGGAGAAGGAGAAGGAGAAGGAGAAGGAGAAGGAGGAGGAGGAGGAGGAGGAGGAGGCGAAGGGAGGAGGGAGGAGGAGGAGGAGGAGGAGGAGGAGGAAGAGGAGGAGGAGGAGGAGGGGGCGGAGGAGGGGGGATGATGGATGATGATGATGATGATGATGATGATGATGATGATGATGATGATGATGATGATGATGATGATGATGATGATGATGATGATGATGATGATGATGATGATGATGATGATGATGATGATGATGATGGTCGTGTCTCACTTGTCATCTCATTAGCGATTGAGTGCCGCGAGGGTTTATCCTCCGAAACCGTCTGGCTCAGTTCTCTCGCGAGGTCTCCAGATGCTGAGCCCCCGCGCGCTGGCCGGGCTGGGCATCGCGCACTTCGCCGGGGCGTTCCTGGGTCATTTCGCGGCGCAGCCCGCCCCCCTGGTGCCGGAGGAGGCGCCTGTGACCAGCCCCGCGGCTGCGGGGGTGGACAGCGGCGCCGCGGCGTCGCGGGACCTCCAGCAGGTGCTCGGCACGCTGCAGGAGGCGCTGGGCGACTGCCTGGCTTCGCGGGCGCCTGTGTGCCCGAGCCCCTGCCCCGAGTGCCGCTGCGATTGCGGGGCCGGGGCTTCGGCGTCGCCAGGCTGGTGGCGCGCGCCTCCTGGGCTGGGCCCGCCGGGCCTGCTCCTGTGCGATCCGTGCGACGGCCCTGCCGCCGTCGAGGCCAGGCTTGGCGGCCCCGGGTTCGCCTGACCCGCGGGTGCCGAGGGGAGGCGGCCAGTTTCGATGAATGTCGGGGACGAGATCTGGGTGGAGTACGATGTTGATCCTCCCCTTCTTCATGCTCGGTTTCTTCTGGTGGGCTCGTCTCGCACCCCCGGAGCCTTTTCTGTGCTCGCCCCCGACATGGACGTGTATGTTGAGGAGTACACGCCAGCGAACACCGACCTGCGCGGGTACCTCAAGCAGCCTCGTGGTGTTGGAGCCCTGGCGGTGGCAGCGCCAGGTGGGCGGGGCCACTACGACTTTGCCCACCTCCCGACCGCGCCGCAGATGGTCGGGGTCCTCCAGGAGGCGCAGGTGGCCATGGCCTGCTTCGAGGGCGGCGGTGCGGGAGTCGGCGGCGCGGGCGGCGGGGCTGCTGCGGGGCTGCTGGGTGCCGGCGTGGCCGCTGGCCTGCTCGCCGCCCTTGGCGGAGGCGGGGCCGCCGCCGGCGCAGCGCCCCTTGCCCTGCCCGGCCCCGCCGGGGTTGGCGCCGCGGGCGCCCTTGGCGCGGGAGCCGTCGGCGGCGGCGGCGCGGCCGTGGCCCCAGCCGGCGCCTTGGTCGCAGCGGGTGATGGCGCCCCGGCGGCAGCGGCGCCCGCCCCCGCCGCGGGCGGCTTGGCGGGTCTCGCCGCCGCGCTGGGGGGGGCTCCTGGGGCTGCCGAAGGCGATGGCGCTGGGGGCGCAGTTGGAGGCGAGCGAGGTGGAGACGATCTGCGGACACTGGCTGTACGATATGATCGTCAGGGTTGCGATACCGAGAGTTTCGTGACCCGTTCAGAGCAACCGATCCACTAGCTTTCCTGACTGGCCCGCCCCAGGGCCTCGCACTTTCCAGTGGGTGGCGGAGTACCAGATGGAGCATGGGGGTACCCCCATGGGCCACCGCGTGGCTTGGAAGGCGTCGCTGGGGGCCTCCGTCGGGCCCGACGACCCAGTCGTGCACCTGCATGCGGAGTTCAGCGAGCTCATGCAGACCATGTGCACCTACGACCAGCTGGACGGCGCCAACCTGGCGTGCGGAGAGCTGGTCGCCCGCCAACTCCAGCTGTGCGAGGAAAAGTACAAGGGCAAGATTTTGTCGCAGCGGGGCGGAGGCGGGCTCCAGCAAGACGAGGGGTACTTCTTCACCGACATGGGCTCGACGCGCGGCATCATGGTCAGCCCGGAGCTCACCAAGTGGGTGGCGGAGCGCCTGCAGGCCGAGAGCGGCGTCGCGAAGGAGCGCCGCAAGGCGCGTGAGGAGCGGCAGCTTGCCGCACCCAGCGGCGGGGGCGGAGCCGGCAGCGGGGGCGGTGGCCCCGGCGGCGGCGGCGGCAAGAAGGGGAAGACGTGACGAGAACGGGGCGACCTCTCGCCCCGCTGGTGAGGGAGCTCGGCCGACCCTCACTGGCTCCTCCAGGCTTGAGCATCGCGCTCCGGTGGTCCCATGGGCCCCAGTCGTCAGCGAGATGTGTTCCCTCCTCCTCTTTTCCGCGATCTGCCTGCCCGACAACCGGCTTGCCGTGCTCTGGGGCGTCGCCAGGATAGACTGGTGCATTCACTGCAGTGGGCTAACCTCGGCATCGGATCGCTCAACGAGTTGGCAGGACGCAGTGGCAGTCGGCCCCGTCGTGCCTCAGTTTTGCAGCACATGGCGCTCGAGCACATCCGGGAGCAGTACACCGCATTCCCGGGGCCGCCCGACGACGTATGCCCCCGCGGGAGCCTTCGCGAGCTCTGCGGCGCCTGCCCCATGTACGGCATGGAGCGGGCGGATCTGGCATCCTACAGCGAGGGCAAAGTTTCCTGGCCAGCAGAGGGGGCGGCTCCTGTGTCTCTCGACCAGCCGGCCGACGCGGCGCGGCTGTCGGATTGGGAGGCCAACATGCTTCGAAGCCCGGAGGAGGCTGCTCAGCTTCGCGCTGAACTGGGACTACGTGCTCCTTACTCTGACCCTGGGCTACGAGACCCCAAGGTTTATGGACGGTTTCTTGAGCAGCTGCACCGTCGTGGCATGCTCCAGTTTTGCAAGTGGGATGGGAAGGCCCCAGCGTTGGGGGCCTTCACGGTTCGCAAGAAGGGGGACCGCCAGAGGCCCCTGACCTCCAGCGTCGTGAGAAACTCACGACGCCTCAAATGTCGTGAGTTTTTTGTTCGTCGTGAGTTTGTAGAATTTGCTTGGCGTGTCGTGAGTTTTGTTTTGATGTCGTGAGTTTTTTTTTATGTCGTGAGTTTTGGTTTTTAGCCAATCATGTTGTGGGCTCTGACAAGTCTTCCAATTCGTCTATGATAACATCACGATGCAATCATGTTGTGGGCTCTTACAAGTATTCCAATTCGTTGTTGACAAGTGCCCTGTGGTAATGTCTAGCGCCACATGTCCGATTATGACAATCACGATGTTCCAGTGTCCATGTTCCACGTAGAATATCGATGATCGCATCTACGATCTATGTTAATGCCCAGGGTGCAACCTACTGGAACATCGGGGGTGCTCGAAAGACCCACCCTAGGTGGGCCACGCGCGCGCGCGCAATCACGACATTCACGATCCCATGTTGAGGCTGTCGGCATAGCTTCCACGGTGCCACTCCGTTTTCGGGGTGGTACGTGTCACCCGCGTGCTTCTTCGAGGTGAATTTCGCATGGCGCCGCTCGCGCGCACACGTCCGCGCGCGCAGAACAGTGCATCGCGTCGCAATCCAGCTATGATCTCATGTTGAGGCCCGAACTACAAGTGAAACAATAGGTTTTCACCATTCAGTTTTCGGGGTGGCACGTGTCACCCGTGCGTTTCTTTGTGGCGGTGCCCGCATATAGCGCCGCCCGCGCGCGCGCAAGAGGACGGGCGCACGCGTGTCACCATGTATGATATCATGCTGGGGCCCAGGATGCGAGTGAAACAATTGGTTTTCAACATTCAGTTTTTGAAAGTAAGCAGGTCATTTCCACGCGATATCGTCATGTGGCGCCGCGTGCGCGCGCTCGTGTAGAACAGCACATAACTTCCAATTTGCACTGCTCGGGCTAGAGAGTTTTGTCGGTGCGGCGCAGCGCGAACGATACACTCTAACACCATCATTGTTTTCCTCATCCTGCTCCTCCTCCCCTCCTCTTGCCTCCTCGCTCCTCCTCTTCCTCCTCCGCCTCCTCCTCCTCTTCCTCGATCCTCCTCCCCATCCCCCTCCTCTTCCTCTCCGTGCGCCGCCGCGTGTGCTCGGGCCCGCGCGGGTCCCCGCGCGGGCGGGGCGCCCAGCGCGAACGCCGCGCGGCGGCGGGCGCTGGCGCCGAGGCGGGGATCGAGGAGGAAGGGGGGGAAGGAAGAGACGGATGAGGAGGAAGTGGAGGAGGAGGAGGATGAGGAAGAGGAGGAGGAAGAGGAGGAGGAGGAGGAGGAACAAGAGCAGGAGGAGGAGGAGGAGGAGGAGGTGGAAGAGGAGGAGGAGGAGGAGGAGGAGGAGGAGGAGGAGAGGAGGATCACGCAGCCTCGGGCCCAAGATGGCCCGCTCGCCGCCCGAGCGGACCCTCTCGCGGTCCCGCTCGCGGACGCCGCGCGCGGCCGTCCGCGAGCGGGATGAGAGGGCCCAGCGGACTTTCGGGTCCCCCGTGGGCTGGGGGCCCTGGCCAGCAGATCTGGTGGCCAGGTACCCACAGCCCACGCCGCGCCATCCGGGCGACCCGCCGTGGCACCACCCGCCGCCATGGCAGCGCTCCTTCGAGGAGGAACTGCGGCGGCGGTGGCCCCCCCATCCACCCTTCCAGAGCGGGCTCAGGTTGCCGCCTGGGGGGTAGATGGGCGGCTGGCCCGTCCCAGGGCCCATCAACGAGGAGCGGATCAGGCGGGCGCGGGCGATCGGGCGCCCAGGGCATACTCAATGAAGAGTTCGGGTGTAATATTGGTTTTTTTAAAAGGATCCCAGCCCACGTGAGAGGGGGCCCCAAGGGCCCCAGGCCTGCATGGGGGTTGGCCACTGGGGCGCCCGCGCGCCCACGCCCGCCTGATCAGGTTCGTCGCATACGTCTGGGTCGAGCCCGCGATCAGCCTGGAAGAGAGGATCTACCGCCCGCGGCCTCCGCCGCGATCCCGGGCCGCAACGGGCACCTGGATCGACGGCTCAGGCCGAAGACTGGGCAGGAGGAGAAGCATCACCGAGAGGAGGCGAGAGGACGAGGATCGAGGAAAAGAATCGAGGAGGGAGAGGGGTGATAAGGGCAGGAATGAGGATGGCAATCCAAT